TTTTAAGTGATTAATTTAAGCCGAAGCTGTCATTTGAAAACACTCTTTTTAACTTTTTTTAAGCCAAAAGCTGAAAAGCACTTTTTTTAATAAAATGCAAACACTCCCTAACATTGGGACATAAGAAAGTGATGTGGTTATTAAGAAGTGTCTCATGTGGTTGATATTGAATTGATATGTTAAAGAATGAAGTAAAAATGATTTATAATCAAACAGACTGTACATATCTTGGTATGTGACAATCTTATTGGGATAGACCGAAAAAGGAAAATATGAGGCATTTATAATTGGACACAAAGAGTATCATGTAAACTTATTTACATTTTTTATGATTTGAAAGATGACTTGAAAATTGTAAAGAAAATATAATTATCAATAAATTTATGTTTAATATTGTAACATAGAAGTAGTATTCAATTTAAGAAGCTGACACCACTCAACTGAATGTTAGGGTTTGGATGCTCAGCAGGAGATCGTCCGCTGTGCGAATGGGAGCACAAAATTTAATGTTAGGGTTTGGAGCCGTGTCTTGTCGGAGTCGATTGGGTCTCCCATTTTTTTTTCAAATTTATCCATCTTACCTCAAACAGTTTTGCTAAACGAATGGAACATTTTTTAGAGTTCTCCCATTTGAACATTTTTAATTTCAATTTAAAAACATTATTAATTTCAAAATGAAACTGAACTGAGATATTCCTCAATAGAAAAGTATGCACGAAGTACTGGTATATGACAATATCTTTGGGGCTGGGAGTATCTAAGCCTATCTCACATGAAATCATGCTCCTACTTTTACTGTTAAAAGTTCAAGAACTTTATATTCCGAGTGAGAAAACTTCCGAATAATTTGCTACTGTCTTCAGATTGACCATAAACAGTATGAAAAAGACAATATAAAGCAGTGAGTAGATTGAATATAATATTGTTATAGTCAGAAGGCTTTCTGACGAGGATTCCTAGATATTGATGCATAGGGAGTAATAATTAGTGCTAGTTTGGTACTCGTAAGATTTATTGTTGTTTATTGTTGTCTATCTGAGATAATCTCCTCGCTTTTGATCTCTTAATTTTACCTACTTCTTAATTTTACATACTTCTTAAATATGAAATTTTTCACTATTTACATGTTCTACTTTCACTACGTTTTATTTACTAATATATGAATATATTTTTATAAAAAAGATATTGTTAAATTTGTCTTATTATAAATTTTTAATATCTATTTTTTTAATTTTTTTACTAATATAAATTTATATATATTAATGGTTAAAGTTGTGTCTCGGCAAGTGTAAAATGTTGACCGTTGCATTTATATAAGAACAGGGAAGTATATTTTTTGACAAATTAAAAAATGAGAACTAGAATAAAATCTTTATTTGCGTCAATTTTTCATTAGTGTCAATCTTTAAAAAATGAGAAATAGAATAAAATCCAGGATTTTGAGTCAAGGGGGGCGAAATTTTTTGTTAGTGTAGGGGGTGATTTTTTTTTTGTTAGTGTAGCGGGGTGAAATTTTTTCCCCTAGTGTAGCGGGGCGAATTTTTTTGCTACTGTAGGGCTATGCGGCTATTTTTATTCAAAAAATGACATTAATACTTGCACATCCCCAACCGGCATTTAAATCTATTACATTCTAAGTTTAGACAATGCCAAAGACATCAACCAATACATTTTTAATAACTTCTACATTGTTTAACCTCATGAATCAGTTATTGAATTGTAATTTTTGTCCACCAAGGAGGATGTTCGTGAGTCATGACTCATGAGAAGTTTTCTTAATATTACAATAGTAGTATACTAGTATGTATGAGATTGTTATTTTTAGAATAATATGCATCACATACACACACACACATATATGGTGCATATTATATTTTAATTTTTTTATTAATTCTATAATAATTTAAAGTTTATCATCTATCCATGCAGTAAATTATTTTTAGAAAGCAAGAAGTAAATGAATTATGTAATCTGATGTCTATAAATATTTATATTTTGGATTCATTTCACGTGGTCTAAAAAATGTGTAATTAGTGTGTCTAGTATTTAATATTGTTTGATATATGTTTTACAAAATCTTGTACTTGTTATCTAATAAAGATAATTAAACATTACAAAACTAGGAATTCTTATATAATAAGTATCCTAAATCTTAAATAACGAGTTACTCTATTGTTTATTTGTTTAAGTTATGTAAATCATTTTAGATGTTTCTTCTTTTAAATCTTCGATTAAGTATTACATTATGTAAGACTATATACTAATTTTGAAAATTAAAAGCTAAGGGGGGCGAATATAATTAAATTATGAAAGTTTTATGAAAATATTACATATATGGTAAAAAAAATTGAATGTCCAAGGGGGGCGGTCGCCCCCCGCGCCCCCCCCTAAATCCATCCCTGGATATTGACATCTACACATTAACAACAATTACGTGTATTTTTATTCAATAACATATCACTCGTCCTTACCCACCACAGGTGAGAGCCTTTTATCTACTTTCATTCTTTATCTTCAAAATCCTAGCTAGTCTAATACTCTAATGAGTTGAACTTATAATGCACAATTTTACTTGTCAGAATTCAAAGTTGAAGAAATTAAATAAATACAGTACGTAGTACGGAGTAGTTTTTAAACATAGAAATATGAAAATACAACGCTGTTAAAATTTATTAATGTCAAATTAGAGGACAGATCGTATCAGGCCGGTCTGACGGGAACCGCCGTCAGGTCGAGGCCATTTGGGTACCTTTCCGGTGGAATTTTTTATGAAATTTTTTGAGCATGTTCCTCATCAAGTCTAGTTTGTCCATACCAAATTTCAGCTAAAAATTCAATTGGGAAGGCAGTCAAAACAATTCCCTACTAAAACTGTGCATTATTTATATATAAACTGCGCAGTTTTAGTAGGGAATTTTTTTGACTGTCTTCCCGATTGCATTTTTAGCTGAAATTTGGTATGGATAAACTAAACTTGATAAGGAACATGCTCGAAAAATTTCATCAAAAAATTCCACCGGGAAGGGCCTCTGATGGCCTCGGCCTGATAGCGGTTTCCGCGCCGTCAGGCCGGCCTGACAAGATCGGGACTCTGTCAAATTATATTTTAGACTGAGATTCAACATTTAATTACTAAATGCATTTTGTCACGATTTTAACTTTTTTTTGTAGTAAAATGCAATCCTTCTTAAGTAATTACAAAAGTTAGTAAAACTAACCCACATTTGAAATTGTTTTGGCACTACGCACTCATATTATAGTATACTACGTATATGTTTCTAACTAATACAACTATAAGTATCCATCCCGTTATTATTGGGAAATGATAAAATGATACAATATTTTAAAAATTAAAATAAAAGGCAATAGATGTTTAGACTATAAATGTATCGAACCAAAAAAGTATTAACAAATATAGCTTATGACATACTTAATTACTTAAAGATGTATTAAAAAGAAAATATCAATAAAATAAAGGTAGATGGATCGATGAAGAGCGTACACTATTATTATTACTACTACTAGTATTATTATTATTCACATTACTATATTTAATATTATTCTTTTTCTTCTTAGTATTATTATCAAAGTGTGAGTGATTATAATTTCAATGTTAATATGAGTAAAGTACATCAGCATTGGTGTAGTTTTGAAATAATAACGCCAAACTAATGTCATTGTTTCCTATGTTTAAGAAAACTGTGAATAAAATTTAAATTAGCTTTGATTTCATATCATCATTGTTCATTAAGTCTTTCCATATATAGTCTAGCTACTTTATCCTTATTTTATTTTGATCACATATTAGATATTATTTCTATTAATAATTACATTCATGATAATAATTAAGTCATGTAATTAAAGCATCTCCAATGGAAGGGTCAGAGGGTGGATTTTTAGTAAGGTCTATTTTATGTGACATATGAGAGATATATAGATACTAGTACGTATTTATGTTAATTCAATATATAGAAAAAGTGATATGGGAAAAATGAAATGTTAATTCAATATATAGAAAAAGTGATATGGGAAAAATGAAAGATAGAAGAAAAATAGAGATAAGTTGATTTGCACTGTCAATATTTTATACATATCCAATCAAGGCTAAAGTTAGTCCTCCATATTAATAATTAATTCAATTTTTATAATTAACATTTGTATATTTAGAAATTATATTAAAATCTCTATAGAATTGCAAAAATCAATTTAGATTATAATTAAAAATTGGTATTCAAATAAAATGTTAAAATGAAACTGTTTAGTAAAAAAAGTTGATTTTACAAATTCCACACTACGTATAAACAATATACTCCGTACAATAGGAGTGTGTAAAAGACAGACAAAGCCCTCCCATTGGGGATGGTGTAATATGAAAGCTCACTATAGTTTAGTGAGACAAGTATATACTCCCTCCGTCCCTTATAACTTTGCCAACTTTCCTTTTTTGGATGTCCCATTAACTTTGCCACTTTCCCTTTTAAGTAAAGAATTTGTGGTTCCAGTTAATTCTCTCTCTTCTGCACAAACCTCAACCACACAGTTTTTACTTTATTAATCCCCGTGCCGGTCAAATTTGGCAAAGTTATTAGGGACGGAGGGAGTATATTCAGATCAAATCAGCTAAACGTCACCCCATATAAAGAAGAAAAAACAGAGAGACAATGACGGAAAAGTGTAACAAGCAGGCCGGAAACACTGTTTACTCACATTCCCAATCCCATCCAACTACTGTCAGTAATCATAACCAATCTGCATTATTCCCTGTACGTACTTGTATCATCCAACTCATTTCTAATATTCTTCATCATTATCTAGGTTAGGTTTCTGCTGGATCGATGTCATCTCTTTTTAATCATATTTAATTTGGAATATAATCATCTTTAGGAGTAATTAAGGGGATGAAGAAGATGAGAGCTAGATAGAAATGGAGTGTATGCATGTGTGGACATATGGGTAATTAATTAAGGAGCGCAGCTAGCTAGTAGAAAAGATATATGTACCTGGGATGAAGGCTGTTCTTGACAACTTTCTGGCCATATTTCCTCCATTTGTAACCATCATCCAGAACATCAATATCACTCCTTGTTTGGAAGCAAAATCTGGGCTCTCTCAACTTTCTCCTCAACTTCATCACCTTCCCCTTGTCCACTGTCGAACCCGACCCGCTTCTCCACCTGTCCGGGTCATGCCCGCCCCACAGGCCCAACAATATTAATACGGAGTATTTACTGTAATTTAATATTTTTGTTCTTCGTATAATAGATCAGAGTTGGTGTTATAAGATCTGCGCCCGGTTCTGTGCCCTAAATAATTTGACCTAATAATATTTTTGTTCTTTTGTATTTACTTATTACGAAGTGTGAGATGATTTATCCGATTGAATTGAAGTGATATAAGCATATACTTCGTATTATTGTATGTACGGAAGAGTATGTTATAGTGGATCGGCCACTTTCTTAATTAGCACCTTCTTAACTTGTCCTTCTCAGCCTCCACTACTACTAACCCTAACCTTGTCCTACATAAGATAATTATGGTTAGAATTGAAAAATAAAGTCAATTATAAATCATATTTTCATTTTAATACTAAATAAAAGACATTGTTTCCTTTTTTGTTGTCCATATATAAAAGGCTCATTTTTTAGCAAATAAAATAGTATAAAACAGTGTCAAACAGTGTTCAAGTTAAGTAATGTCTAAACATAGTTAAACAGTATTCTTGTTTAGGATGTACTCCGTATGACGGTCAAACTATGCATTTTATAAAGGGACAAAGAATACCTAGTCATCTCAAAATATGGTGATATGATTTCAACATAACAATAATATAGTTTTATTTAAGAAGTATTATAATCACGTTCTTTTCACTAATGCTATGGGAAATCTCCCAAACCTCAGACCTCTATATCTATTCATTCATTGATACATATAGAAATGTTTGGAGAGTTAGATATATATTTGAGAACCAAGCTACAACTTCGATCTAGCTTAGATGTACTATATGTATCTTGAATGATGATGATTCAAGAAAATATGGAAAGCGAAGCTTCTTCGATCTTTAAACCACCAAAAGGAGATTGTGCCCAAAATTAAAGTTGGATTCAACTATATCCCAGAAAAGCTAGCTAGAGTGAAATATCGAAACAAAAAAACCCCACACGATTTAACAACCTACAAATTAATCACACGTCATCTTCAACTACATAGATAATACAAATACGACCAACTATTTGACCGTAACTATCGTCCAGACTTATCTAGTTGAGGTGCTTTTGAGTTCTAACTTTTTTGTGAAAGTTATGAACATGTTTTGATGAAGGATAGATTATGTACACAAATACGTAGTATATTTCAATTTCAAATTCAACAGGGAATTCAGTTAAATACATTATTGAAAAACACTACAATTTTTATATACATTGTGACGCAGTATGTTTCAATAATTTATTTAATTGACATCACAAATGAATCTTAAGCTAAACTTTTGTGGATATAAAGCCTGTTTGATAGCACGAAAATCGGCTGTTTTGGCTGATTCTGCTGAAATTTATGAAGTTCTGGCTGAAGTAGCTGCTTTGGCTGTTTCTGCTGTTTTAAGTAAAAATTATTTTTAAAATATATTTTATTAATAAAATAAAGAAAAAATTATATGTAAAAATAGCTAAAATGGTTATCTACAGTAACTTCAGCCAATATAGCCAGAAAAGTAACTTCAACCTTACTTTTTCTGCTTATTACATAACTCACCACGTGAAAGTAAAAGTTATGTGTTTGGTGAAAAAGATGGCTGATAAGCTTGATAAGCCGAAAAATGATGTTACCAAACAGCCTCTTAATCTAAACTTCATAAGAGCATCTCAAATAGAAAACTTCAGACGACAATTCACGTCGGAACTACCTGACAGAATCACTACTCATAGATAATAATATGTATATTTGATAGCCGAAATTCACAAGAATAATTTGTACTTTGGGGGATTCTACAATAATAATCCCTACTGAAAGTGTCCACAAAAATAATCTGAACTACCAATCAATAGTGTTTATAAGAATAAATTGGGGTTAACTCAAATTAATACGCATTTAATACTTCCAATACTCTCTCCTACTTTTCTCTTCCTGAGACGAAGAGTGGTGAATGGGAAAGTGGAAATAGGGTTTGAGAGTATTAAATGAGCATTAGTTTGAATGAATTCTAATTTATTCTTATGGACACTATTGACAGTACGGATTATATTTATAGACACTCTAATTGTGAATTATTATTGTAGAATCCATAAAAGTATGAATTATTAATTTCGCCTATTTTATATGGTTAATTTACTCTTAGGGAATTTACCTTAGTGTAATTAAGTGAAACGTACATTCACAAACTTCTAGTACTCTCCGTATATAACTAACAAATTACAGTAAAAAAACAACAAATTTAAGTATACCTTTATATGAATAACACTTAAATTAGGAGAAAAGTATACCATCAAAAAACATACGTAATACTCCACTACAATACAATATACTATTAGTTTAAGTATAAATAACTAATTTCTGTCAATAAATAAATAAATAAATACTCCGTAATATTTAGTTACGTTATTTGTTAGGAATCATCACCTTTTAGTTTAGGCATATTGCTAGCCATTTTATCTTATTTGTATTATGAGTATTTTAAAAAATATAATCATTTCTTTCAAGAAAATGAAAGGGGACAATAATGGGCATATATATTTGATGGATATACCATGATGAATTGTTGCCGTCGGCTGCATTTCCACTGCAGTGTGCATCATTTCCAGTTCCACACATCGGATCCAGGCTTCCAACCTATCATCACCAGTTTAATTATTATTGCAATTATTTATCATTAATTACCATTTGAATTCATTGAAATTAATTAAATTACTTGCACAAATATGTACCTACGTACCTGGTCTTCGTTATTCCATGAAGGTCTAGTATTAGTGTTATTATCATTATTAGCAACAAGGTGGGGCGGCTGGGCAGGGCAGCTAAACCCTAAAAGAGGGTCGTCGTCGTTGCAGCCGCCACCGTGCTTAGCGGCGGCGGAGGTTAGGGGCTGATGAGAAGAGGACGCCGCCGAAGGGGTCAAGAAGCTCATCATCATCACTGCCTGCTGGGTATTATGGTCATCTTCAAAGTGCACAAATCCCATGTCATCATGATGATGATGATGATGATGGATGGGATGATGGGGGGTGGAGAAGGAGACTTGTAATCCGCCATAGCTGGCCGGTAGCCTTGCTTCATCACTTTCCATTTTCCTTTCTTGGCTAGGATCCAGTAGAAGAGAGATTCTATTTATATAAACAATTTAAGCTCTCATGAATCTGTGTATAGTATATACTCCGTATTTGCTGTCTTTTCTTTTGGGGTCAAGTTTTAGAGTGGTTGGGTTGCAATTGCATGTTGAGTTTGAAGCAGCTAATTAATTAAGGTAACGTGTACTAACTAGGGCTATAGCTTTTTAGAGTTATAGGGTTTCTATTACTATGAATACCCTTTTGTTTAAAATAAATTAAAAAGTGTCATTTGGATTAAGGGATTTCGAATGGTTTTAATTACTTTTCACAAAAAACTGTTCGAAATCCTTAATTCCGATTGCGTTTTTGGGGACCCTAAATACACTCCCAATTTTTAATTACAATTAGCTGTTAGATTTTCCCATCTTTTTTTATAGAAAATCAACCATAGTAAACACTTTGAAGTTTGAAAAGCGTTTTGCCCTAGCTTGTTTTTGTCCTCAACTAACAGTTTTTTTTTTGAGTTTCTACTTGCTAGTAGGGCGGTACCTGGCCAAGTTGTTCTCTAGCTAGGCCTATATTCCTAACTATGGAGTAGTACAAATACTTTATCAATTTCATAAAATTTGGCCAACTTTGATTTGCAAAATCAATACTACCTCCGTCTCATATTTATCTTCATAGTTCGGTTTACGATGCTTGACTGACGATAAAGCAACTCGATCCCTGTTCACAGTCGGATTATTTTTAGTAAATAAAATTTACATATTCAGAAACTACATTAAAACTGATACAAAGCCTGACAAAGAAAATTTACGTTTGATAAAAATTTGATATATAAAGTAAAAGATTAAGAGTAATTTGAGTTGACCATGTGAATAGTAACTATGAAGATAATTTTGGGACGGAGGGAGTATTTTCTTGTCAGAAAATGTTAAAGTTAAATCCTTCATATTGATAAATAATTCAATTTTTAATAATTAAAATTTATTTATTCAGAAACTGCATTAAAATGTCTTCAAAGTTACAAACTCCATATTAGAATATAATTAAAAATTGATATCCTAATTAAGTAAACAAAATGAAAGTGTTTACTAAGACAAGTCAATTTTACAAATCACTTTCGGACGACGGAGGTAGTAAGAAATAATAAAATAAAAATTATGTAGTTAATATTTGTACACTGAAAAGAAAAATAACTCTAACGACATATGCTTACTTTAAGTAGAATTGACATACTTTTTGGAATTAAATAAGGAAAGTTGGCGAAATTTTATAGGACAGATAGAGTATATTGACCTTCTCACTATGTGTAGTCCGCTTGAATTGTATTTTACTACGTATATATAATATGAAATGAATAATATCACTCGGTTCCTTTTAATTGCAACACTTTCATTTTTCATGTTTGACAGACACAACCTTGATTGTTAATATATTCAATTCTCTATAAGTAAAAAAGCTAAAAAGTTAGATTCTGAAAATTTGTATTGAGGAATTTAGGAAAATCTTTTGAAAAAAACTCCAATACTTAAAAAACAATGTAGTCAAAGTAAGACATGTGAGTTGTGTAAAATTCAACATGTTGCATCTAAACAAGAACGAAGGTAATAATATTTTGAAAAAAATCATCAAATTTAATTTGAAACGTCTAAATTTTTTCATGATTTTTACTAATAATTTAATAAATAAATTAGTCGTCAAAGATGTTACAAATACGAAAATTAAGTGTTGCAACTAAAAAAATGAACTATTACAATCAATTACAAAGTGATAAATAAATAATACATATTTATGACTAAAATAAAGATTGCTTACAAAAAAGTAACTAGTGCAAAGAGTAGTAATAAAATCATACTCCCTCCGTCCCTAAATTAAAGTCTCACTATCTTTTTTGAAATGTACCTAATTTGAAGTCTCACTTCCTCCCACTTCATTATTTGGTAAACAAATCTATATCAAAGAGTATCAAACGGTGTCAAATAGTGTTCAAATAGTGTACTCTACAGTAAAACTACCACTCAATAAATTCATTTCTTAATATGCGTAAAGTCAAACTAGGATATTGTTTAGGATGGAGTAGTAACTTTTTGAACGGGAAGTAGTAGCTTATATTTAATTTTTAAATTTAAATTGGGATGACATTACATAGTAGTAACTATTAGTTTTATTTGTGTGTAGAAAGTATTATTAGTTCAACGTAATACGAAGTATATCACCTAATAAATCACAATCATCAGACTTTGAAGAAGCGATTTTGAGTCACTGGTGTGTGTTAGTGTGTGATACACGCTTTTAGTACAACCATTGTCTCAAATTAAATCAGGCTGTTAAGTACGTAGTAATATACTCCGTATCACCTTTAGGATGTTTTCTTTGGGACTGAAATTTGCTGGTCTGGTCTGGTCTGGTTTGGTCTGGTCTGGTAAACGTCTGGTCTTTGTGTATTTTATAACTACGGAAGTCAAGTCTGGTCTGGTGTGGACTGATCTGGTCTGGTCTGGTCTGGTCTGGTCTGGTCTGGTCTGATCTGGTCTGGTCTGATCTGGTCTGGTCTGGTCTGGGACTGAAAACAGTCCAAAAGAAAACATCCTTAATTTCTTCTTAAATAACTGCAAATGTTAAATCTCACACCATCACATACTCTACATATCCCATTTTAGCGTTCTTCTTACAATAGTCCCACATTTTGATTATTCATGAATAATCCAACCTTTGCACCTCATCTTCATTCACTAGTCCCTGACCGGTTGATGACCTACTATTCCAAGTTATTTTCTTATCTTTGCAAACCATTATACCATAAATCTCACCTTTCACAAAGATAATATTTTGTAAAGATAAGAAAATAACTTGGAATAGCAAGTCATCAACCGGTCAGGGACCAGTGAATGAAGATGAGGTGCAAAGGTTGGATTATTCATGAATAATCAAAAGGTGAGACTATTATAAGAAGACCGCTAAAAGGTTGGATTATTAGTTTCCATTTTCCCTTTTATTTATTAATTAATTAAAATTTTGTTTTTAAAAAAATTGTCAAATTCTTTTCATTTTAAATTTCAAACTTGGTTTTTAAAAATGTTCATTAATGAGAAATGTAAACATGTAAATTTTCAAATTCTTCTTATTTAAATGTTCATTTCTGCATTGGTAAACATGAAAATGTAATTGTTCTAATTTTCTTTTTATTATTATCCTAAAAATGAACATGTATTATACTAACCATCTATTTTTAATTATTCTTGTACGATTTCTTGTATTTTATTAGTGTGGGCTAATCAGCTACTAGAATCAACATACATAATTTAAGATTTATTAGTTTAGATTTTAAAATATTTTGAAATAAAGAATTACTTCCACTCGATTATTTACTTTTCCAAGTGTTTCCTGGTTTTTAAAGGATGATTACTTTAATTTGTGAGTGCATTTGTTCTCACACGATTTATTGGTTTTTTTCTTAAATTCATATCCACACGGTTCGGAGCATTCAAATATTTGTATTGTGAAATTAAAAAAGGGTTTAGATAATATCATAATAACACGATATATACATTGTTTTGACAAAATATGATTAAATCTGATTGAGACGCAAAAGTGACTGTAGTTGGCATAAATTACAATGAGAAATCCTTAATACATATAAACCCCTAGTTACAATTAATTGCATATGACTCTTCTCTAGTTGTCTTGTTCCATAGAAGTCTGACCGCCGCTGCATACCCATACCAATTACATAAATTATGCTATACTTAAAGATGTCAAAACATGACAATAATGACTTCTACTCCGTATTTTTTTGGAAAAATAATGACTTCTATTTAAAAGATAAAATTATAGTAATTCTATTTTGGAGTTTATAAATTTTTACTTTTATTTAGAAAAATTTCTTTTATGGAGTACTAACTTAACGTTATGGGAAAAACGTGATCATATCAAAGGTTGCAGCTACATAAAAATAAACAACGTATGTGTTTTTTAAAAGAATTGGAGGCGACTGCTGCGCTCATAGCTCTTGATTATATGCCTTCAAAGTCTCATCTAACACTAACGAAAAATAGGCCTTATATTAAATCAGTACAATACAAAAAATCAACCTTAAGGAAAACCAAAAAACTACAAAAATGGACAAATGAAAATAGGACGACAAGAAAAAGAGATTTTTTAACCTTTGGTTGAATAACCTGAATAGTTGGATCATTCGGGCAAATAAAGTAGTGAACTATTTTCAAAAATAACTACACTATGTATATATACACTATGTGGATTTTACAAAAAATGGGTCTTATATTTTTTGAGGCCCTGTACAAAGGCACACTTTGCACGCCCTCATCTACGGCTCTGCTTCAACTGGTTGCCGACTTACTCTTCTTATGGGAGGTTCCGGATTCAATAATCGATCTCAATTTACATCGCACCCCCAGTCTCCCTACCCCATGATGACCCCCACCCCCTCGAGGTTAAAAAATCAAATAAAATTATATGAATGAGAGTTGGTACTCATAACTTATGTGAATACATTTTGTGCATGAAAAGTTGTACATTATTGCTTTTAGAAACTGAAACCTTATTTTTTAATAGGACTTCTTTACCCTTACTATTATTCAAACGTTTATATTTCGTTAGTAAATTTTTCAAAACTTAGAACCGCATAGCCTCTTGCTCTCTTCCGTCGTAGCATTTCCAAGTCATTGTTCAAATGGGAAGAGGAAGATCACCCGGGTCAATTTTGATGATAATTTACTTAATTAAATATTTTATATTTGAGAATGTTATAATATAATATACTCCTTTCGTCTCATTTTACATGTCTTATTTTCCTTTTTGAAATGTTTCAAAATAAGTGTCAACCACTTTATTAATAATTGTGTCAAAGTCAAATGAGACACATAAAATAGGATGAAGGTAGTACTTCATATATTAACTGTTATTGTAATTATTTATTGGGGAAATTTGAATTTGTACCCCATTTTATTGTTCAAATTGGACTTTGCACCCCAATTTTTAAAACATTGTTTTTGCACCCCAATCTCGTATTAAAAGACTAAAATACCCTTCGATTTGGAATATGTTGAAAGCCAACAAAATTGTTAATGTAGGAGCATTTTTGTCTTCTCATATATGTCTGGGG